AGTCACGTTTTTTTATGTTGTTTATTTGTCTATATGGTGTTTTTAATATGCCTTTAGACAAACCATGTGCCAATCTATTAATCAACACCATTGCTGAGTATTTTCTCCTTAAAACCCATTTACCTGAATGCATTACTTCAGAGTTATGTGGCCTCTAGAACTGTAGTTTCCCAAAGGCTGACCCAGAAATACGGTTTGAAACAGCCCTCGGTTTGTTACGTCACAAACCAATAACCAATCACGTCAAGGGATCGATTCCTATCACTAGCATGCAAAATATACCAATCAAAAGTAAATCAGAGCAAAAAACCCATGAAGCTGTGGTTTAATGTGAATTTAGAACCGCTAACTTGCATTATAACCCGTGGCAACAGTGTAAAAGTAGCCCGGAGTCAGACGCACCTCTCCCGCATTGGCGTCTGCACTTCACATGCATTGCTCGCGGGCGCAAATTAAGAATCACAAACGGCTGTATTCAAGTCTTCAAGGCATTTTAGGACACAACATCATCAAGTAAGTAACTTTAACGAATGTTACAGTATTCACTGTAGTTGTCCGCTAGTAAAAAGATAGTTTTATCAGTCATTATCCATGTATGCCATTGTTTTGCGTTTACTACAGTTCAGTGGATCAGGAGGTGCTGGTGTGACTGAGTGGAGGCGGGACTAATTTGCATATTCATAGATCAGCGTATAGTAAATGAGGCATGGGTGTAGAGTTGCATTCAAGCTATTTTAAGGAATGAGAAAATTATTTTCACAAGAAAAAACATTTAAATATATAATTTTGATGATCAAAGATAAGTTTTAAGGGATAAAATATTTGAGTACAGGGGGACTTGTAGTCAAATAAAAAAAAATCTAATACAAATCAAGAGCATGTTATCACACTTAACATTAAAACATTTCGGATAAATGACAACATAAAAAAAAGATAAAAAAACAAATAAAACAACCAACAGTGAACTTAAAGTAAATTATTAATTATTGGTTTTATTTCTTGTTTAAAATGCTTCCCAACTGCATTCCTCAAGTCCAACTCTGTTGCTGACAGGAAGTTGGTCATCACAGCATCTGCCAAATAAGAAAAAAAAGCACAAGAAAAGTTTGACATATTTTTTTACTTTAATTACACTTATTGTGACGGAGTCATTCTCTTTTGCTTGGATGCCTACTAAAAACTAAAATGAGATATATATAGTGTATCACCATTCAGTGTGTTAAAAAAGAGAGAAGCTCTCTGGTAAATGTTGTGTGTTTTATACACATACCTCTAATGACCGAGAACAGTGCAGTCTTTTCAAATGCCTCTTTCTGAAGCGGAC